TCCATCAGGACACCCAGGTCCTGCTCTGCAGAGCTGCTTTCCAGCAGGTCAACCCCCAGCTTGTTCTGGTGCCTGCATGGGCTTATTCCTCCCCAGGGGCAGGACCCTGCACTTGCTGTTGTTGAACTTCATGAGGTTCTTCTCCGCCCAACTCTCCAGCCTGTCCAGGTCCCTCTGAACGGCAGCACAGCCCTCTGGTGTGTCAGCCACTCCCCCCACGTTAGTATCATCAGCAAACTTGCTGAGGGTGCACTCTGTCCCTTCCTCCAGGTCATCGATGATGAAAACGTTGAACAAGACTAGACCCAGTATTGACCCCTGGGGGACACCACTAGCTACAGGTCTAGTTATACAGGCTAAAATATACAAAAATAAGTAACAGGGAAAAAATTTCACCTTTTTAAAAATTTTTAAAATAGTAATTAATGTTTACTGTACTTCACCACAAATCCTAATTTACAAATGCGGTAAAGTTATGGCAGATAACTTTTCATACTGGAGGTCACAGTCATCAGGATGGATGGGAACAGACCTCTCTTGAAAGAATTTCTGTGCCTGTAAGGTACTTGAACTTACCTGCTTTGCCTTTTGGAAACTTCTCCTATCACAACTACTGCTGAACATCTTGCATGTTTATAGGCAAGACTTTATAACCTGAAAATTTCCAGCAACTTTAAATTGCAAAGGGTCACAATTTTGCCTCATTGAGATGAATTTGTGCTTCCACAAAAAGCACGCACAATAATCTGGTCCGGGGACAGCACAGGCTACCTGCATCAACTAAGTATATCTAAAAACTGAAAAGCAGTATGAAATTCATGACAGTGGGGTGTTTTGTTTGGTTGGTTTTTAAACGAGAAAAAAATCCCTCTGGCTTTCAGTAACTAATCTGGTCAACTCAGAACTGACATTCACGGGCCATACATAAATATGCAAAAACAACACTTCTAGAGTGACATGAAATGCCAATATCAAAAACACTTACTGTTTACCCACATAAATAGGTCACCTGTTTCTGCTTATATATGTGTATCAATCACCTTGATTTCTGAGAAGTACAGATGAAATCTACAAGAGTCAACGAGTTTCACAGGAAACAAAGCTTGAAATTGCTGGGAGCAACATCAGCGATGCAGCAACAGTGACGCAGCCAGTACTGAGCACCTTATTACTCTTCCCGTTTCTTTCCTAGGCAGACTTATCATAGTTAGGAACTGGCCTTTGACTCTTCAAAAATGAAGGTTATTACTATTTTAGCAGACCATTTTGCCTCCTGTTGCAAGGATTTTCATTGGCTTTCATTAGCCACAAATTCCAGCTGGCTACTAACTTCCTATTTACCCAAACACCTACAATTATTACAGGAATCTGCAGCTTTCTTTTTGGGGGTTTCAACGTGTAGTACCAACACCACCACCTGATGCATAAACACCAGAAGTACAGTGCTTGGTAGAGTGCAATCATGTCTTTTTATCATACCTGAGAAAGGTGAGTACAGATATGCCACTATACCAACGGAGAAATGGAACCACTTAACCAATTTCTCTACCTACAAAAAAAAGCACGCAGTTTTAATCACGTTTTTCACCATACTTCATATCGTTCCCATGAGCTTCTGTCCCCCTGCACTAAACCAGGGAATCAACACAGAAGCCAATAAAAACATGTAAAACGCTATGGTACAGCTAAAAGTAAGTGTCACTGCTGCAAAGCTAAATTCAACTGAAACTATCTTTAAACTTTCACTGACCTCTAAATACTACTTCCTGGAGAACTTCAACTTAAAACTGCAACTGATGAAAGGATCACTGTCTTCACTGATGATAAAAAAAAATGTCTCTCCAGTACTACACTGCTTAGGAGCTAGTTGTAAATTACTCATTTAATCCATCAGATATTTGGCGTCAGAGGGAGGGAACATGTTTTCCAAGCCAGAAATGCATGGGCGATTCTCAGACATCTAGGCCCCAGCAGCCTCTTTTCATCTCTCTCCCAATAAGAAACAGCTGTTCTAACAGCGATTTTAACAACTACATTCCTGGCACTACACTAAAACTGCTTGGAAGCAAAATCCATGACTCCCTCCTCCAAACTGCCCCTGCCATCTACCACATGAACAGAGCTGATCTTCAAATTTCTTGGGCGGGAGAAATCAAGTCAGAAATTTGTATGTGCTCAACCCATTGGAGTTTTGGGTCTCACAAGTAAAATAGTCAAAGCAATTTACCATCCTCTGACTACAATTAACTTCCACTTCTCCCCCCTTACCCTCTACACCCAGATAGGATCATAATTTCACCTATCACCAGCGCTGTCTCGTGTATTTTGCTAAGAAAAGCAGAAAGTAGCTCGCAGTTCTGACAAATTAACCATTCAGTCAATTTTCCGTAACAGGTATTGTTTTAGACATACACACTAGGCACGCAGAATTTTCAGCGAAATCTGTTTATCTTCTTTTGTTACTGCTGTTGGGCAACTGAGTTCAAGCTTCCCACACCAAGCACTGTTTACCTTGTGGCACTGGCTTCTGCTCAGTAAGCATGCAAAGTTATAGCACAACATCTGAGTTGTTAAAACCATGTTCTAAAGCTCCAAAGACCAAGCAGGAAGGCTTTAAAATTCTATTTTTAACAATGCTTATCCACTCAATTTGACTTAAGCAAGAATTTAAGGATATGCGAAAAAGGAGGTTTTAAAAGCAAAGGGTGAAGCAAGTTCAGTTATCACATGTCAAATACAAAATTCTGGTTTGCTGATATCAGCTGAGGTATTCATGTGTGAGAAGAATTAAAATTGTAACAGTGAATTATAAAGAAACATGAAAACGGTGTACCAAGACCGAAGTATCTGATGTGATTTATGAACTAGCTGACACAAAACATACTGCTGGTAATTTAAGATACTCTTTAATGCACGGAAGCTTTCTTTACTTCCACCACTGCACAATGCCTTTCCTGAGTACTAACCTGCTTCCTCACATTATGCAAGAAAAAGGATGGAATAGTGTCTCCTGTAGGGCATTTTGGGATGGAAGATGAAGAATGCGAGAGCCATTTATTCTTTTTGGAGGTCAGCAGCGACACAGAACCCAAGCGGCCCTGCTGCTTCATCAAGTCTTCAGGCTGCTGGTCACCACCAAGGACTACTGGGCCCTGCAAATAAAAAGTCACACAGAATTTCACTCAGATGCCACAGCCCGAGAAATTATTTCTTCAGAATGCTCTAACAGGGAAGCAAACAATGAAGAGTTAGATTTCTATAGAACACTGATAAATTCTAAAGTAATGGTGCTGACCTCCGAACTAGGGAAAGCAGTTTAAAGAGGAAACGTTACTAGGCCGGTATCAACGCTATTTGTTTTTCCTGCAAGAGCTGCCCACGTTCACGGCTCACAATTAACATGCTGCTTACAAGGTCCTTCAACTCTGTTCACAACTGCAGGAAGGTTTAACCGAAATCAGTAAAAATAAAATCAAGGCACAACAGTACCCTCAGAATGGTACTTGCTTGGTATCATTGGCCATGGACCAGCAGAGACTGGTGACTGCTGTTCTAGTCTATACTATTCAGACAATTTAGACCATTTAGAATAGCAGGGCAGTAATTAACGAGTAATGTTCAAAGGTGAGGATTATCGTGATGAGGAGTACCATTTTCCCGTCACGCTTTTGCATTTTCTTCTTTGCAATGGCTGAAGAGAGGTAGCCACTCTGCAGTTCAAAATTTCTACGGCTCCGGTCACATATATCCCCTTCACCCTTACCACAGTTATAGCATGCCTTGTGGCATACAAGCAGTGCTCAACTCACTAATCTATTTCTCCTGACTCAGCAGGAGAAGCTGAGAAGCTCAACAGTAGCTTAATACTTCCCTGTACTAGCAAAACATCTCTCTAGTAAAAGATACAGGCTGAAAGTAGCTGGAAAGTTAGCATTCCTTCAGGGGGAGTTAAGGTTATTCACTATGTAGCCTGCACTTCATAGACCTGTGCTAAAACTATGCACATACTTGTGAATGGAAGAAAACACTACATAGAACAATCAACTTATTCCATGCATTTATATTCACGTTGGTATAACCATCGTAATCGCCTGAGAACAGCAACTGCTTTACAGTACATTCCAGAGAACCATAAGCTCATTTCTTGAAATACTGAAATAGATAAGACAACTTACAGTTACTTTAAAAAAGATTCAAAGCAACTGAAAAGTTGGTACTTCCCCGTATGGTGCTGTGCTGTATTAGAGATTAATGTTATAAAAGTCTCAGACCCTTAGGAACTATTATTTTCCATAGAGCTGGAGTAGAACCATAGAGTAATTTAGGTTAGCAGGTAACTCTGGAGGACGTCTAGTCCAAGCCTCCCCTCAAAGCAGGTCCAGCTAGGTCAGGTTGCTCAAGTCGCGAGTATCCCCAAGGATGGCGATCACACCATCTCTCTGGGCACCTTTACCAATATTTGACCGCTCTCATGGTAAACTTCCACGTTCCAACTTGTAACCATTCCTCCCTGTCCTAGCACCGTGAACCTCTGAGAGGAGCCTGGTTCCATCTTCTCTATACCTCCGCATCAGGTAGGACAGCAAGATGTCCCCTTCACCTTCTCTTCTTAAGGATGAACAAACCCAGTTCTTTCAGTCTCTCTTTGTACATCATATGCTCCAGCCCCTGACCATCTTGATGGCCCTCTGCTGAACTTGCTCCAATACGTCAATGTCTTTCGTGTACCGGCAACCCCAAGACTAGACACAGGACTACAGATGGGGTCCCACAAGTGAAGTCAATTTACTAATGAAATCAGTATTTTCTCCTTAAATATTATAAAAAACAGGCATGTCATAAAGCAGCTTTAAAAAGAGGCAGTGGCTTCCTGATTCTTTTTTCCAGAAAAGTAAAACATTCTCCAGCAGAAGAACTCACATTTACCAACAAAGGGTAGGTATTCCTGTCACTAAAGTGCAGCTAGGTTTTATTTCCTTTTTAAATTCAATAAAGATGAGATTTATCAGATACGATGTGCTTTCCTGTATTCACAGAACAACGGTGATGAGAATTAGGGTTTAAATCTCACTAACAGATCATCACCAATCCTAATACTCACCTTAGCAGTCACGCCCATTATACAGGGGAGGGAAAAAAGCACAAAAAGTCATGCTTTGAATTGAAGGGACAGCAAAGGATACCTAATGGGACAGCTTTCCAGAAATTATCTGCCATTTATAATTAACCTATGCTGAAAGAATACCAAAGTCGTAACTATGCAATGGCTGTTTTGGCAACCTGGGTGGTGTGGTCTCTTGGAGGAAACAGATAAAAGTCTAGAACTGCAGAAACTATATTACTGTTTAGTGTTATCCGACTGCAAGCTTCCTTCACCTGAGATCTTGCAGGACCAGCTACAAAAGAGCAGCAAAGGTACAGGGACACTATCTTTTGCTGTCTCATGGATACAATATACCCCAGTAGAATGTAGAGTTTTAGTTTTATCAAAAAGTGGTCCAACGTACTTCATTTATAAAGCTTATGCAAAAGGAACATGCATTTATCCAGAGGAAATATATACATACATATTAAGCACAATAATTAAAAACACTGTCAGTTTATCTTCCAGAAAAGAAAGCGGGAAGGAAAAAAAAAGCTCAAGCCAAGTACAAATCCTCAGATGCTGCTCTTTTCAAAGTCTAAGGAAGTGAGTTTTGCAGTTTATGCTGAGAGCCAAATTCTTATTATTTCAAATTGGAACACGCAAGTCATTTCGAGACTTCAGAAGCACCTTGAAAGGATTATAACTCAAGTGCTTCCAGAGGCTTCTGCAGCAGGCTGAGAGGCTCTTAACAAGGGGAAATCTCAAAAAGCATTTCAAGTTTTGAAGATGGAAAGCCATGTTTAAATTTATCTCCAGCAAGTCTAGCCACGCACATGTAAGTATTATTCTACTCAAGAAATAAGTATTCATCCTTTCCTTTTTCTACCATAATGCTTCTCAGATATTAAAGTGAAACTTCAAGGTAAGGTAATGTGAGGTAAACTTTAAAAGGTAACATCCTAAAAGGAGGACACAGGGTTTGTCTACACAACATCCTTGAGATTTAAAGATTAGCGTGCTTTAAATGATAACACTTTCCAGAGCGCATCAAGGTGTGCAAGCATAAACTGAGCACCTCTGATGTAAAGCAGCAACATCCACATAGGGACAGTGATGCTCTGCCAACTTAAACTGACATTTGCACAAACCTACTTGGCATCTTAACGCCACCATGGAAACCTGTTCTCATCAATGACCTACCCTGCCCGGACTTGCTGAGGAAATCGTGTCCCCCTCCCTCAACAGGCTCTTACTTTAGTCTTAGTGAAAAAGACAAAAGTCCCAGCCTCAAAAGATAGAGGTAACACCTCCCATTGGTATGGGCTAACTCAAATGTTTTTTCCACCAGCCTTTATTTCTACAGAGAAAGTAACACGTCCCACACTACTACCAAACAGTGACTTCTCCTAAAGAAATACTCAATTCATAGTTTCTAATGAACTTTCCAAGTCACAAAGTAGAAGACTGAAATTACCTTGTTAGCACGAAGTTGCTTGTAGATATCTGTCTGCTGTCTTATTCGATATTCCAAGTCAGAGATTTGAGCCTGCAGCCACGTCCAACGGCAGATAATTGCTGCTCTCTCCATTGCCCACTGACGCTCTGCGTGACGACGTCTGAAAAGCAAGTTTGCTCGTGCTCATCATTTAAGTAAATTAGTTGCAACAACAAAAAAATAAAATTCACAGAAAACCAAGAATAATTCCGTTATTAAAAAGGGATATAATGCACTTTCTTAAATCACTTAAGAGTTCATCTCTGATACAGAAACAGTGAATTTTTCCCCACAAACACTATCAATAGCGAGCCTTAATATCGAGCCTTAATACGAGTCCCTATCCCCAAGATGGAACGGTCAACAAAATATATTAAGTAAGGAGCAGATTTTATTTTGACTATCACAAACCAAGGCAAAAGAGTCCAGCTCCCTCTAGATAAGCATAAGAAGATTTCTCTCCTTTGTGCAAATTGAAAAAAAAAAACAAAAAAAAAAAAAAAAGCAAAGCCTGACAGGACAGAGACCTGGTTTGTGTTGCTTGGCACAGAGCAGCACTAAATGCTTTTCGTGACATTCCTCATAGCTTTTTGCCTAACATGTCCTTAAAAATCTCTACTGATAGAAATTCCCAATGCCTTTCAGGAAAAGTAACCCCGTGATTCATTATCTCAGCTGGAAGATTTTTAGCGTATCACCTGATTCTCCTTTGCTGTAGCAGTAGATCATTCTACTATTGATATGAAGAACACCAGAGATCATAAAGAAGAATTATCTGTGGTTTTTTTTTTTTTTTAAATACTCAGATTAAGATAACTGCTGCATTCATTCAAACTTATCATTTGAACCGTGCACTGTGCAGTTATCTTATCAGCCTCCCAAACAGCAAGCCTACTCGCCAGTCAGAACCTTTGGAGCACTGACAGACGAGAGCTGACAAATCTCCCTATGGCATTTTATCATGCCCAGCACAAACGACAACCCGTCGCACCCACTGTAAAACTCGGCACAAGCATTATACAAACAGGAGAAGAGAGACAATTGGAAACAATGACTAATGCAAATATCACTTTTCACAAGTGTGAAAACTGTGACCATTGTAGACCCTTGTAAAGGCCAGAGCTTCTACTTTTGCTATTACCAATAGTGGGTAACAGATATTACACAAAATTTCACAAAATTACTATAAAATCTGTTAGTGCAGACAGGAGCCAGCCTGCACACGAAGAGAGAGGAAAAAAATATGCTCAAGTTTAATGTCTTGTTTTCAAATTCAGGACCACTCACTTCATAATCTGATGTATTTTACACCAGCAGTATGATGGCTGAAGAACAAAGAACAACTAGGGCCAAAATCACTGTGGGAAGAGGTTCTTTTTCATCAGTGTGAGGAGGCTGCTGTATTTGAATAGGATCAGATGTGGTTACAGTTTAAGAATTCTAATTTTAATAAAGAAATGCACCAAATGTGCGTTATTTTGGGGCAATAAATCAAACCTGAGAGCAGAGCACTGACTAGATCAAAACGTCAGCTTTCTCAAATAAAGAGAAATCTTGGATTTTCTTTAAATTAAAACTTACAGAAACCATCAGGAATCAACACGTGAGCAGAGAGAGAAAACTGAGAAGGAGCCCCAACCTAACTATGCAGCTTCAAAGCAGCTTCAGAGTCCAACCAGTGGATTAACAAATGAGATTCTTCTTTTTAACAAGTTCATGCCAAAATGAAACGAAGCAACAACTCAACTGACCATATGCTTTGGAATAAGATTTTCCACAGGAAGTCTAGTTGATATACGCTCCCGGAAACAGAGCAACTTTCACCACTGCAAAGACCTTATCGACACAAACGCTGTATCTTCAAAGTACACTTCCATTCCAGCCCGAAATCTGTTCTCTTGCAGATATTTCCTCTTATTGAATTCACTTTCTGAGTACTACCACTGTCCTCTTCCAAAGGTTAGGATCTTTTTCATTTTTTTTCAAGCACGCAATGGGGAGATCGTGTCGTTTCAAATGCCTTAAAACACTGGAGCATCTTAACTGTTCTCTCTCACGGTTCTCAAACATGACAGTGCAACATATCAGAAAGGTTAAGATGCACAGCCCTGTTTTATAGGATAAAAAGCAAGCATGATTCAAAAGCAGCTGGGAAAACATTTTTAAAACCTCTATGCTAAAGACGTCTGAAGGCAGAGAAAGAAAAATAGGAAAGAATTTTAAGGCTACAAGATCTACAGAAAGATGAAAAGCTAACTGAAAGCTTCCTCAGAATTGCTGCTTTAGCATAACAAGCCATAAAAGTAGCAGTACACAGTGTAACATAACAAATGTAATAATCAATTGAAGTGGTCTCTTTCCATACAATCCTTGACTATTTTGTGCTGGATACACTAGTGGCCTCACTTTTTACATCTCAGCTGGCTACACTACAGTGTCGAGAAATATGGGAAGTGGACGTGCAAGTTACATCAGGTTCTCTCTTCAGCTTGCAGCTGTTTAAGCACTCTCTTCTCTCTATACTAGCCTGTTTTTAATTTTTTTTCCAAGGAATATGGTATACTACCTTTACTTATATTTCCTATTAACATCTTAAACATACAGGTTAATCCCTTCCAATTGCTCTAGAAGAGTTAACTGCAACAAATTCAGCAAACAAACTAATCCTTAAGATTTACCTTATCAAATCTCTCATATCCAGGCGAGTCCCTAGAAAACCCAAAGTAAAAAGAACAGTATGCTGCAATTACAGTTTTGAAATCCATGTTCCTGTACTATCAATACGTTTCAGATTTTATTTGTACAGAGAATTAGGAAAAGAAAAGGGCTGTTACATGAAAAGGAGCCTTATCTGTAACAGAAGCAAATTATTAGCACCAAATTGCTCTTGGGAAATTCATAAAACTAATTAGATTAGACACAAGCTTTCTGAAAAAAATTTCCAGACTACTTGTGAGCATTGATATGAATAACTGGTGAAATTTATATTACATTTACTACCACCATCATGCAATCATCACGAGGGCATTACCATCTTTGGCATATCACAACTTTCCACAGCCTTGATAACAACTGTTATTCTTTAGTAGCAAATCAATTTAAACCTGGACGACGGCCAAAGAGATTTTTCCGTCTTTCCCTGGAGCAATTACAGCACACAGACGAGTACTGAAACAAGAAAATCACACAGAAGGTGAATTTAGTCATCCAACAACGTAAAGTAAGTTAAAATGGTATAGGTCTACCGTTTGGCAGAATGCAGAAGAATCCGTTTTTCAAAGGATTAACAGGCAGTACATTTCTGGACATGAATCAGTTTTACAGGAGAAGAAAACAGAAAACCCAAACAAACACAGGAATAAAACGGCTCAGTTATCTCACGCTTTTCAGTCAAGGTAATAAGTTTCCTCACTCCATGCAGAGATACTTCATTTAAGTTTATGACTTAAAGAACATGGGACATTCCTGTTGCTAACAGTACAGCATTTATCAGAGAAAGCACTGGCGGATCTAATCAGCATCATCTTACACACGCCCATCTAAATTAGAATGAAGTTTTGACAGAAAGTCAGCAGTTAAGAGTTACAGCAGAAAACCCTAAGATCACCAGCATGAGTATCCACAGAAAATGCATAAAACACGTCTATTTTAAGCAAGCTTTGCTTGTTTACACCTCTAAAGCCTTCCACACAACAAATCACACAGTACTGCTCTATCAACTTGACACAGCCAGAGTAGGTCACCACGTACTTGGTTAGCTCTAACGGTTTCTCTGGCAATACACAAACCAAGTTAACAATTTTTCCCTTCTGAAAGCTCTCATCTGCAAGGACTCCTGTCTTCACTTCTCCCCAGCTATTTTTCCACTAACATTGACAAGAGGAGGTGCTTACTGACAAGCACGACCGTGACAATCAATACCAGAGAGCTCCTTCTCAAGTGACACATCTGCCACTACTAAGGTATTAAAATATCTGCAGAAAATGAACTCTTGAATAAAGATCAGACAACAAGCCAAAACAATGCTTTTAACAAATTACTACCTCTTCTTTAGGTATTTTGATGAACAAGGCCATACACAATGACGCAGTAATCATCACTGACTTCTTGCTGAGCTTGGATAACCAGACTTCTGTTTTCTAGAGATGTTTATCTTGCCTGTAGTTTTCCAGAAAGGTTTCTCTTCCTCCTGGCAATGACTTAAGCTCACCAGATCTAACGAATTAAAAACACTGGTTTCAAAATGAAATGGAAGGAACTGCAAAAGCCTCGGCTGCCATAAAAAGTAGTTGCTCATCTTCATCTGCATGAATGAGGTGGATTTTTTTAAGCTAAGTTTTGTTTATCTATATAAACCTCCAAACAGTCCACATTCAGATTATTAACACAGTATTGCAAGAAATTAGAATATGGGTAAAACCTCTTGTGATTAAACAGGGGTGCAAAATTTTCTACACCCTACAAACTGGAAGGGTACTCAAACTGGTAAGCTACCATTCCAAGGGGAAACACCAGTACCTTTTTTCTCTCCTCGGTTATATTTTTCAGTAAAAGGTTTCTGAATGTTCTTATAGCTGTGGGTACTGCAGTTCTCGTGATCTGACAAAGTATCCCAAATGGGATCACTCGCCTCAGAGAACATAAGCAGATGAGATTCATTTGCAACGCTCAAATGAGCCATCATCTACGCAATGAGCTTCATGATAGGCATGCAGAAGCAGATCCTAGCGCCCTCGAAACTTCACTGGGTTTCTCCTTTCCCACGTGAACTAGCTCTTCCCTTCACTGGAAGGGGCATTCCACTTCAGCATCTGGCAGAAGCTATATCCAAGTAAGGCAAAAGTTGCATAAGGCAGGCATGAGACCAACTATTATCAAGTCATTTATCAGTATGAAGGATAAACATTTGCAAAGTCCTTCATCCTCTAAATCAGCATTCCTGTTTAACAGGTATTACTACCTGTCCATCAAAAAGAAAGAGCAGTCTGTAAAATTGTTTAGGAGATGCACGTCTCCAACAGCAATACAGTTTGACATGCACCAGATTCCAAGGAAAGGCTTAAAGCATTATTAAATATCACTACACTTGTGATAATACCATGGTACCTTTTTGCAGTGAGA